GCATCGGTAAGGGGTCGGGCCGGAGTGGGCTAAAACGACGCGAAGATCGGGACAACATCGGATCGGGATAGCTCGAAATCTCTGAGAATCGGCGGGTTTGGAGGATATATTGGGCGCCGGGGCCGCTCCAGAGCGTTCCGGAACGCTCTGAGAGCGCTCCGCGACGCTCTGGAGCGATTTATCCTGATCCTAGCCCTGTTTTATGGGCAAGTCTTCCATGGAGATGTGGAGGACGATCATCGACTAGACGTAAGAGTGACCTTTCGCCAGAGTGACCTTTGGTGCGGGCACAGATGGGTCCCCAGATGGCTAAAAACGAGGCAGTAGCAGTTGCTTGCGCGCCCAGGTTTGGTCCCCCCGCGGCCCCCATAAAGTCGCGCACCAAAGGTCACTCTTACCCAGGGTCACTCCTGCGTGTAGCCGAGATCAATGGAGAGGAAGCATGTTGCCAAACAATTTCCAGATGTCAAAAACATGTGTTAAACATGTTCGAAACGTGTGACAAGCATGGTTCAAACATGTTTGGAACATTATTCCGACATGTTACACACATTCTAAAGTCAATGATAGGACTGTTAGGGTGTCCATTGTCGTGGCATCCACAACCATGGACCATGGAGGGCGACCACCACACGCTTTCGGAGAGCGAGCGCGACTCCTCGCTTCATCCCTCTTCCCGCACCAGCGAGCTACATTCGTCCCGTACAGCAAGGGTGAGCGGATCTCCAACGTTACCCTTGCATCCTGCCCATTCGGCGCATCCTTGGCCGCTTTTGCTGGCCGCGCCCCGCCCGCAAAGTGTCGACGTGGCCTTCCAAGGCCCTGGCATCCTTATCGTGCGTCCTTATTGTATGGGGTGGCTGTAGTCGAAGGGGTCCCCGCGGCAACGGTGCCAAGGCGGGGGTACAAGCGATTTTGGACTCCAGCAGCGCTTGCTGCGGGCCAGGAGAGCTTTCGCGCACATTAGCAGGGGAGACGACGACATGTGGTAACGTCTCGGCTCTCAGGCACATGGGTGCCTCGAGGCTGGGGCAGCGTTTCAAATTTTCGTCGCCAATGCCAGACGCAATCGCGAAGAGGCCATCGGCATCCCGTGCGACCTGTAATCTGCAGGGTTAGCTCCAGGTGGGCGGGCCTACCACGTCGAGAGGCTCTTCAACCACAGCGAGCACATCCGCCGAACTTCTTTCGGAGCAGGTCACCGCATGAGCTGACATCTTCGCCTTCGCCAGCGGCCATTTCCAGAAGGCGGGCCAGGCTGTGGACAGTCGTCAGAACAGCCGTGGCGACCCAGCAGGCGGTGGGCTCGTGCAGGAGATGGACAGGCAGTTGGTCAGGCTGCGGGGCACCCTGTGGAACAGCGCCGGACCCTGGCTCGGTCGTGTCAGCGAGTCTTCGGGGTGTAACACGGGCGCAAGGCACGCGACTGTCTTCATGGGCGAGGCCGCGTGTTTACCCCAGCAGTGATCATGGAGGCTTCGCTGGGGCGCTTCCCCTTCCCCCTGGTCATCGCCACGGTCGCGCTGGTCCTGATCATCTGATCCGCAGGCGTCGGCCGAGAGTTTTGCGTCCAGGTCTCGCACCGTTCGAAGAAGAGCGGCTAGTGCCAAGGTCACTTTGCACAGCGTTGGTGGTTTTGTCGTTGCAGGCTCTGGTCATCAGATCACGAGACCCTCAGGACAACGCACGTACGCGCCAGGTCGCGAGCGGCGCCGCAGGCGTTTGGCACGTACTGCGAGCAGCATTTCTTCATAATTTCCGAGGTCGCCAGACGGCGGCGATTTCCCATCTGTGCACGGGGCGGAGGGGCGCGATCCAGCGGATCTGTTTGCTCCTGCACCATGCATCTCAGTTGTCATCCCGCAGCGAGAGCGTAGGTGGTTTCGGGGCGCCACGTCTCAGAGCGGGCTGAGGACTCGGCACGTGCTGCAGTGCATCGCGAGGGATCGCTATGGCGAACTTGTTCACAAAAGTCAACACGCTGTTTATTTCTAAGTCTTCGAAAGTTCTTTAATCGTTGGGCGACAAGATACTTTCATTCCTGATTGTTCTATCATGGGCCTCTTCCTGGCCACCAGGGGGCCAGGAACAATCAGAAACGAGCACAACTAGAACTGAGCACGACTGGGAATGCGCGACGTGTAGGCGCCTTTGCAGATCCGCGTTCCCCCATCTTGCACGTCAGTGGATGGTCTGGGGCCGCCCGCGCAGCTCGTGCTGCGAGCTGTCCCTGCCGCACGTCCAGGCAGCCAGGGCGATGCTGTGTACCGTTCTCCAGGGCTGCGCGTCGTGAGGGCTGACGTGCAGGAGCTGTCGTGCCGCACGGCGCAGGACGATCGTCCCCGTCCTCCGGACCCCCAGGTGGTTCTGGGGACAAGACCACGTGTCTCCAGGTTCCTTTCGTGCCAGGAGCTGCGCCGAAGGCTTTCGAGCGACCCCCGAGTTACTTGCAGCACGACTTATCGGAACCCAGGGCTGGCCTAGGACGGAAGACATCCAGGAGGTATCGGCCGTGGCTTTAGTTTTCCCCCTGATCGTTCGCCGCGGGTTGACGCCAGCTCTCCCCACGTCAGCCCGTCAGAGATGTCAGTGCAGGCTCTTCCGCCCGCGGGTGGTCGTCCCTGTCCTGCTTTTTGGAAACGGGAATCAGAGGAGAGAACTTTTCGAAGACGCAATATGTCGTCTCTCGCGCGTGGGGCTGCACACGCGTCAGCCAGGCACCTTCGGCGAGGCCGCGCGCGCTCTAGACTCTAGACTGCTCGTTAGGCTTCGGGAGTCGCACGGAGGACGGCGGCGAACCGCATCTGTGGCAGTGCACAGGGCGCCTTCTTTCAGGGAGTCTTCTGGTTGCCCGCGCCGTCCAGGAGATCTGGCTTCCATCCGTCCTGTCTGTCTGAGGAAGGTCGGCGCAACTGACAGTTCGATTTGTTCGACTGTCGCCCTCCCAGGAACGCCAGTTGTCATGCACGCAAGTGGCCCGTCGTGCGAAGCGAGAAGGGGAAGCGGCACTGTGTTGGACCAGATTGCGACGGCGCCCTCCCCAGTGATTGGATGTCATGATGCTACATGTGTGGCAGGCATACGGGGGAGGGACAGTGGCGCGGCAAGGGTATGGTCAAGATCGGTAATGGTTTCGGTTGCCGTGGGTGTTGGGCCAACGGCTCAGCATCGGTGACGCAGCCAAGGCGGATCCGTTGGTCTGCAGCTCGGGCGGCCTGGTATCCAGGGGCTTCCCCTGCTGAGCCTCAGTGGTGAAAGCTTCAGTCGTATATTGAAGCTTGCTTCTCACTGGTTTCCGGAGCGAGCCCCGCGCCATCTTGGCGGCTTTCGTTGTTGTTGCATGGCCGCCTCTAGCGGTTGAGCTCCCTTCCCCGTGTTATCGTGGCAGTCGTCTCGCAGACGATTGCTAAGTTGATCGCGGTGCTTTTTGCTGTGTAAGTGTGTGTGTGTGTGTGTGTGCAGCAGGCGGCGCGCGTGGCTTAGTGATCCATCTGAGGCGACCCTCCCGAACGTGCGACGCCCCCCTGCAGTCAGGGTTTACTGTTGGCGCTGGAGGCGCTCCTCTGCTTCGTGGCTTGGGTCAGGGGCACTCGCTCGCAAGCAATAGGGGTTTAAGGGTTGGCATGCCATTGTCATTGGGCCTGTCCTATCCTATTTTCCTCAACGCCGCTGGGCCGCGGGCGTGGGTTCAAATATAGGATTCCTCCGGCTCGAGCGCGCGAAGGGCATGCGTTGAGCCTGCCCTGCATCAGCACATTGCGCGAAGCCGCCCGTCTCATCCTAGCAGCGGACGCGCTCCTCCTTCAGTCTGGCACCCGAGTCCGCCGACCCCCACCGCCCCGCCGATCGCCTCCCTGGGCCCTCCCTGGCGCCACTCTGTCCACTGCTGCCCCCCTCCTCTGGCTCTGCCTCGTCGCCCGACAGGCGGTCCTTCTCCGCCCGCCCTGCCTTCCCCACCTCGGACGTCGACGACGACGTCCGACGACGATGACCAGAAGGAGGAGCAGGAGGAGGCGGAGGACGACGACGACTGCAACGACGACGACGACAACGACGAGGAGCACAGCCGCGACCGCTACCCGACGGCGCGTCAAGGGGGTGGGTCGGCACGCGGGTTGGGGCCTTCCAAAGCAGGCGATGGGGTTCTCCTCCGAGGGCCTCTGAGGAGGCTCCCGAGAAGGCAGGATGGTTTTTGAACATGCCCCCTGCCTCCCGGGGAGGCCACCCCCCTGCGAGGGCGGGTGCACTGCCGAGCGACGACGACGACAACCGTGACGACCACGATGACGACCACGCCGACGACGAGGCCGACGTCCACGCCGACGTCCACGCCGACGACGACGACAAATACGATGACGACGAGGACGATGACCACGGCCACGACCGCAAGCCGGAGGCGCGCCAGTTGGGGTGGGTTGCGCGAGGGTTGGGGCTTTCCATGGGAGGCGATAGGTGGCCCCTCGGATGCGATGGATGGCCTCTGATGAGGCGAGTGCAAGAGGGGCTGTGAGAAGCCCCCCTGCCTCCTTGGGAGGCTGTGATGCTCGTCCTGTTTTCGTACCATAGGTTTAGCTTGTGCGCTCTTGCCGCTCAGAAGCGCTACTCGCGGGATGTTTCGCACTGTCGTTCCACTCGGTGGCTAGGTCCAAAAGCATCTCCTGATGCGCCTCCTGCCACCGATGGTAGCGGAGCGGTGACCCGTCCGTCCACGGCAGGGGCGTCCGCTCGCGCGTGCCACGTCGCGCGCCCGCGGCGACGCTCAGAGGCTCTAGGGCGAGCGCCACTTTGGAAGGGCTGGCTGGCATGGGATCCGCGGCTACACTGCCCGCGGACGCGGGGAAGGACGACGGTTCGACGAACCCAGTGATTCCCAAGGGCGGTCAAGCCCCGGGACCGCCGGGCCCCGCGGCTGCACCCGCACCTGAGGCGCCGGCGGCGGCGGCAGCAGCGGCAGCGTCGGCCTGCGCCTGCGACCAGGGCCGAGCCCGCGCCGGCGACAGGTGACCTAGCCGCCCAGTGCCGAAGCATGCAGCCTGCGGAGGTGCGGGAGCTCGTGCAGTGCATGAGCCAGGTCATGATGCAGTCGCAAGCGACTCAGCAGGCAGCGACGCCGACGGCACGGCAGCAGAGATCCCAGGACGACCGCGACCCCTGGAACGACTCCGGCCCATGGAGCAGGATACGCGCCCAGGGATGTCGTCTCGGGAGCTGGCGGCCGACGCCACAGGGGGCCGAGGGCAGTCAGCCGATGGATGGCCTGGGCGGCCTCGCGGCCCTCAGCGCGGCAGCCAGGCAGCAGGAGTGGAATACGGACGACAAGAGCTGGCGGACGGCAGCCGACAGCTGGGACTCCAACGACTCGTGGTGGCAGACGAATGGTCACCACAAGAGTTATGCAGCTCCCAGCTTGGTGGTCGCAATCCACGGGAGGCTTCGCCAAGGGTAGCTATACCGACCCGCCAGCCTGGCCCAGATGGGCCCAGTACCGGTCCTGGAACCGCGCCGTGAGACAGTGTAACTGGTTGGGCGACGTCCCAGTCTGGCGTCGGCACGAGAAGTTAAACAAACTCTTTGAATGGGCCACGCAGGCCAAATTCGAGGACGTCCCAAAGGAGAAGCTGGAAGGACCCCAGTGGCTCGGCCCTCTGATCGCTCAGCTCGATATGATGATTGGTGAACGTGTTAAAGGGGACGACTTGCAACATATCGTGCGTCGTTCTCTGCTCGCCCTGCAGTTCTTCGTCAATCTTGGGGAACGGCAGTTCTGAAAGGCCAAGGGGAGCGAGTGACCTCTTGATCGCGGGCACGTTCGAGAGATTCATGCTGCAGTAAGGCGCGTCACTCTCCCCAGGGAATGCAGAGCCTTCGGACACTGACTCGCGGAGATCTGGGGGTCAAGAGCGTGTGTGGGGCGTTGTGTCAGCTCGACTGCGCGACATCTGAGCGGCCACTGCCGGTTCAATGAGGCATCAGGTTTGCTTTCGGCGCCGACGGCTCGACCGAGGCTGGAGGCAACTTGGCATATTCCTCCCGCTCCTTCCCTCTGTCTCTCCAGGAACCAGGCCACGGCGGGCCTTGGGGCGCCGGCGCCGAGGGCGGCGATCAGGAAGACGCCAACTCCGAGGAGGACATGGATGACTCGGATCTGTCGCTAGAGGACTGCGCCCTGCAGGCGCTGTCCGAAATCGTCGAGCTCGACCTCGACGAGGACGGCTTCGAAACCTACATCGCCGGGATGAAGAAACGCACTTGGGAAGATAATGAGGACCTCATGCGCGCGACCAAGAAAGGTCGCGAGTTCTACGACAACGTCTGGGATCGCGCCCCAGCTGCTCGCTCGGGACGCTTCTCCCAGCCCTCTGCACACCGCCCGTCTTCGTCTGCCCGTGGCTAGGGTCGCGGCAGGGGTCGTGGGCCCCGCGGCGGGGGACGCAGGCGTTTGGAGTCTCACCCATCGAGGATGCGATCCAGATCACTGTCACGTGGCGCAACCACTGTGCGCGGGACGGCCACGGGGAGCGGGGGTGTCCGTATAAGAGGGGGAGGGACCCAGCACGGGCCGCAGTCGCCACGGCGCGCGCTCGCGCGCGGGCTGCGCGGGCGCGGCGACTAGCGAGACGATGCAGCCCCTTCTCGAGCTCGAACCTCAGGATCGCGTCTACCTGGGCGCAGGGCCAACCCAATGCCTGGTCGACCCTGGAGCTGGCGGCGACTTGGCAGGGAGCTCTCGCCTGGTTCGACCTCGGGGTGGCGCGCTCGATCGCCCCGTCCTGCTCTGCCCCCCCCCCAGGCGCGGCCGCGGGGTAGGAAGGCAGGCTCGGGCCATCGCCGCGATCTTCCCCCCAATGGGGATCGGGGGTGGGGGGCCCGGGGATCGTGGAGGCCGCCGTCTTGTCTGAGGGCGTCCCGCGCACGGGCGTGAACTCGAGGGTTTCCTAGGTTGCGTGATCGACCTCCCCCGCAACGAGATGAGGTCAAGTTCCCTGAGGTCGACGGCGAGTCGCGCGAAGCTGGCCCCCGGCCACTGCGTGGCGGGCATCGCGGCCCGCCTGCCCCCGCGCCTCCGCGCCCCGAGTGCTGCGTTGCAGTTCCGCCCGTTCCTGCGCCCCGACCCCCTTCGCGTGGGCGCGGGGGGCGATGGCCGATGACGGGTCAGCGAGCATGCGAGGCACGCGCCCCCCTTCTTCTATATACCTCGCCAGCCTCGGCCTCGCAGCTTCCGCGCGCGTCTCATGTCGCGGGGCCGTCGGGCGGGGCGTCAACTGACGCGGCGACGCCCTCGACCTCGTTCGGGCCCCGTCGGATTTAAAGGAGAACCGAACCCCTGCGCGGCAAGCGCCTCCTAGCCGCCCCAGGCCGCGAGCGCAGCGCCCCCGGGCGGATGTGGATCCCGGCGGTGAGAAATTTGCCTCTGATGGCCGCCCCAGAACCGGTCGGCCCCATGCGCGGGAGCCGCAGCAGGCCCCTTACGATCCCACCGAGTTCTCCGCATTCATTTGGGCTGAAGCCAGTTCAGGCGAGCCTATCCTCATTCGCCAGTTCTGCGGCTGGGGGGCCTTTCCATGTCAGTTCGGCCGCCGGGCCTGTCCATGCTCTCACTCGCAGTCTCGATCGTGGCGGGGGTTTGAATAATGATGGCTATTCTTCTGGCGCCGATGGCGTAGACGGTCAGCGGTTTAGAGGGCGCGGGGCCGATTCCCGAAGACGCCCCCGTAGATGGCGGCGACGCCAACCGCTTGGCGGCGCCAAGCGCCCTCCTCCCGAGCGCGTCCAAGTCCATGGGCGGGGCCCGGGCGGCACCCCGCGGCAGCGGCGGCCGCCCGCCAGGCAGCGGCCCAGCAGCAGTCGCGTCTCCTGACAGTGGGGCAGCTGGGGGAATCCAACGACCCCTGGCACGCCAGCGCCTGGACTGCTTGCGGAGGCGGTCGCCGGCCGCGTGAGCGACGGGGCCCCGACCCTGACGCGGGCCAACCAGGAGTGGTCGGGGATGCCGAGGGGCGCCCTGGACAATTCAGCCAGCCCGATCGCTGACGACGTCTGCCAGCGGGCGCTGGCGACTTCCGCGGAGCACAGCGCTGTGATGGGCCAGGGCGCCAGAACCTTGGCGACGGCAACGCCGTCGGCCGCCGCGAGTCCTCTCCACCGTCGTGGGCCAAGGCAGCCGCTCAGCAGCCTCAAGCGGGTGCCAAGATCGAGTTGCCCGCGCCCTGCATCATGTGCCGCGGCAGCCAGCGCCTCGACTGCGGGGCTCGCCCGGCCTGGGTCTCCCGCGATCAGCGAGGTGGAGGCGGCTGCGGAAGTCCAGACATCGACTATCGCCCACCGTCAACGGTCGAGGCGCCTCGGCGAGCGGCAGAGCGCGCAGAGCGCGGGGTGGTTCTTCTCGAGCAGCAACGACCTGCACCAGACTCTGCTACCTTGCATGCGGCGAGCGACGCCGACCAGGTCTCGCAGGCGATCGCGGCCCAGATCCAGCCTCTACCAGCCGGGCTCCAGAAGTTGGGCAATGCGCGGGCGGCTTTGGACTGGGTCCGCGAGCAGGTGATCGCGCGCGTTCAAGCGCCCGACGGGGCCGCGGAGTCGCGCCGGCAGATCCTACCGGCCCTGGCGCAGACCCAGCGGATACTTCGACGAACGCCGCCCCCGTGGGAATGGCGAGCAAGACGGCGCTCATCGCAGTCTCGTGCCTTCTCGGGCCCGCGCCCGGACTCGAGAAGCGAGGCGTCGAAATTGGAAGAGAAGCCGGTTCTGACGCGCGTCTGGGATTGGAATCCTGGAGGCCCAAGTCAGCGCGCGACCAGTGGCGCGAGAACGAGACAGGTCTCAGATGGCCCGGCTTGGCCCCGAGTGTCGCGCGTTCTCGGCCTCGAGCAACATCAGCAAATATAGCATGGATCCCGAGCCGCATCGTCTGATGATGCCGCGTCTTGGATGGCCGAGGCGGTCGGGCTGGCGGCTCGGCCCCAGGCGCCCAGGCGCTCCAGGATCGGCATGTCCGCGCGCGCCTTGCGCGTTCACCCGGGCGGGCTTAGCCAGAAACCCGCGGGCATGTTGACTAGCGCTCGATGTTTCCACGCAGCGCTGCGTGGGCGAATGCGCTTCCCCGTCGGGCCCAGGTCTGCCCTTCGGACTTTGTGATGGCGGTGGTTCGCGTGGAGTCGGTCGGACTCCTGGATCAAGGTTCCATCCGTGATGGAATTGCCCCGCGTGCTCGAGGCCCCCGTCTGCCCCGAGCTTTCCGGCGACTGCGAAGCGGAAGGGCTGGGCGTTAAAGGCTCGGGCAGCGACCAGGGCGTGTCCGATGCGCGCGGAAGCCGATGGCCGGTCGAGAACGCGGGATGGCCTCATGCTGCCGAGGGGCGACACCGTCTCGTCTACTTGGACAATCAGATATTTATACCGGCTCTCTGGGCGGGAGGCGCCGAGCGTCGGATTTTGCGTTTGGCCCGGGACTCAATGCGATGATGCCCCAACCGTGGAGAGCGCGAGGGCCCCGACAACCGCCGCTTGGCGGCGCTGCCTAGGACGTCTCGCTTCAAGCGCATTGTGGTCGTTGGCCCTTTTGATTTTGCGCTTCGAGCGCGTCGCCCAGCCTTCTCTCGACCTGGTGGGCCACGGATCCAACCTTCAAGCGAGCGTGAGATTTGCCGACGCAGAGCCTCCACCACCTGGCACGGGCTGGCCCGGGCGTGGATGAGACCGTTCGGGCGATCACGGCTGGGCGGTCTGAGTTTCAAGATCGGTTTGCCCGGGGTCTCGAGCTATGAGGTCTGCACCGCGTTACTGGTGCCAGCAGCCCATGGCAGAATGGTCGCGTGGAACTGCGCGGTGGGTGGATCACGGGGCGCGCCCAGGTTGAGCTGGATTCGGCGTCGGACATGCCAGTCACCTTTAGGGATCCAACTTCATTTTTCTTTGAGTTGCTTGCGCGCAATCGTGGCGGATTCTGTCCACTGTAGCTGGTTTTCGGTGGAAACCCGCGGCTGCCGCGTGAGATTCTGTCCGAAGACGGGGCGAGGCCCCCCGGCTGCCAGGGCGTCGCGCCGGGCCCCATCCGAGCGATGCGCAGCGGATGACGAATTGGCTCGCGCGCGCCCCGTGCTCCCGGGGACGCGACAGCTCGCCGTGGAGGCCGCGCGGTCCGGGACGGCATTCAAGAGGCCAGTCGGGCTCTGGGGCCCTCAGTCAAGACGTTCTCTCCAGGTCAACGGTCTTTTGTTCGCCGAAGACAGATGGCTAGAACCACGGCCCGCTCCCGCGCGTCCGGAGTAAGTCGAGACGCGCGCGCGGTCGGGCCCAGGCTATTTGCGGTGCTCCAGGATGGCGGCGCCGCGTCGTTCGCAATGTGATCTCGGCTCTGGGCCATGTCTTGCCCACG